TTATTTTGGTCCTTGTTATGGCAGCTGAGGCTTTATCCTTACTGATACAGGAAGGAGGGAGGGTGTGTTAAGGAGACAGAAGTGAGAATGAATATAAACTCTTCTTTTAAGAAGCTAGAAGGGAAAGGAGAGAGACAGAAGGACAGTTTCCAGAGGAAAGAGGGTCAAAAGAAGTGTTTTAGTTTTAAAATCAATGATCCTAGAATTCTTAACATTTTAAAGTCTACTGTCCTCTCTCCTTATTCATGACATATTTTTAATTTTGCAGAAGTAGTTTTAAACTCATTGGTTGGGAAATAAGCAGGTTGGATTCTTCGTGATTATGATAGTTCTCTTTATAAGTTAGCTTTTTGGGACATTTAGTGTTTTGCCAACTAACTAGGGGGTGATTATTTGTTTTATTAAAGGGCTCCCTTATAATATGAAGCTTCTTAGCAGTTAAGTGTATACAAATCATTTAATCACCTAACAGAGGGCTAGGGAAAAGAAAGTTAACTTGTTAGAAGTTACTGTAATGATCATGTATGTGTGTCAGCAGGAAAGCAGAAGTCAATAAATAAAAATTGTACTTTATGGAGCTTTTTTCAGGAATAACTTTATCACAGAGAGAGAGGAATTCCTGCAATGTCTACACTGCAATCAATGGGTCTTTTGTGGGTTGAATGACAGCCTCTCTAAGTCCCCAACTCCTGGTCATAAAGTGACCTGAGCAGTAGGGAGCTTTGAGAACAGTTTTTGGGATAACCCCACAACAGCTCTGACATATCTGCTGTGAAGGGTATGGCAGTTACATAATTAGCCAAATAGCTGCAAGTAATATACTTAAAACAAAAATCCTATTGGTATTTAGCTGAACTAAAAAACCAAAGTAACTATCCATTCCCCTATGGTGCAAATTACAGTTATGTGTAAAATGAAATTTCTTATTTGCATTTCGCATAAAATTCACTCATTACTTACCTATTATGGGTTTTTTAAATGGCACTTCTAAGGTTCGCTTTGGCTTAAAGTGAATTATTCGCCAAGACTTTATTCCTGGAGACATGAATCCTCTGGGATTTCTTCACCTTTTGCAAATTCATAGTTCACTTTGTGGGTAGTAGTGGTTTGTGGCCTCTATGTGTGCATGTGTGGGACATGTGGGATGTAGTCGTAAGATAAACCTAAATGGTGGAAAATTTCATAAAGAAGGGTCCTATATCCCAGAATAATTAAACAGAAAACAAGTAAAGAATAGTCAGTAAAGGTAGCAGCAAAAATTAAGTTACCTCTTTGCAATAACGCATATGCTTGGATAATCTGTAGATTTAATAGGTGGAAAAACGTGTGTTACAAAAATCATTGAAAGTTTGGATATCAAGAGGCACAAATACAAAAGTGCATGAAAAAGTAAAATTAAGGCAAAGCTGCCTCTGAGAGTAAAAATCTTGATGAACTTTAGTAAACCACTAAATGCAATGTTGGACACACGTGAGCAGAGGAAAATCAATAAAAAAAAAATATGGTGTTCAAGAAAAGAACTGGGGACATAAGGCCAAGTAGCTGTAGACATTTACTAATTCCAAGAGGGCAATGAAAATTCTCCCTCACCCCAAATCTCTCCCCTACTCACCACCAGACCTTGGCTTGAAATATCTTCTAATATACTCCCTAATGAACTCAAGAGCAAAGGTGAGGGGCATTATCTCAGAAATAAAAGACACACTTTCTCAGAACATTAGAAAAGTAGTTTCTCGATTCATAGAGATTTAGAGCTAGAAGAGATCATAGTAAACACTTAGTTCCTGCTTCATTCCAATACATACATTTAACAGATGTGACAATTGGGTGCCCCAGGCAATAAGCGACTGGCCCAAGAGCACATGGGAAATTAATGGCACAGAAATGCTGGTTTTCAACTCTCTATGTAGAGGTCTTTTTTACACCACTGAGCATTACCTGTACTCAGAAGGAGTAAGAGAAGGACTTGCTACATTTCATCGGAGGATGAGTTCTGGGACTAGGGTCGCAAGAGGACTGAGTGGGTCTCAGACTAAAGCTCTAGGGAGTGGGGCATTCTGGATTTGTGCTTGGTCACAGAAGTTTGCTATTTTGCCTATATTGGTTTAAATGCCAAGGAAAGTTTATGCCATTAATATACCATCGTATAGTAGCTTGCTCTTCTACTGTTAGAGTTAATCAGCAGATAATGATAGGGTTTGTTGATTACTCACGAGGCACAAGAACATTGGACATTTTTATACAGTCATTTGCATGTTTAAAGATTGTTTTGGGTTTCACAACGGGCAGTTGTTACCCTGCTACGGGGCTAGGTCAGCTCAAGTTTGCATCAAGCTAATGTGTATTCATGGAAACTACACTAAGCAGAACAAGAAGTAAATATCCTCTACCACGTAAAACTGACCTCAAATCGCCTGAAGTAGTTTTCGACACTTCCACTTCATTTTGAAGTGAATATGTCCCTTTGAAAATCCTACTATTGATCCTTAATTTTTCCCAGTGATATTCGGGGGTTTGGTTGGCCTTCAAATATATCTAAAAGTCGAGTAGGTGAAATTTCTTGTGATGAGATCCCAAATTACAGTTTTTTTCCCCTAATAATTACAAGCTATCAGGTTTTCATTTGGTTATGAATTTGATTTTTGAGGATGTCTTCGTACTATGCTATGTAACCTCCTGACATTTACTGTTGTTGGAATTTACTGTATTTCTGGGAAATGTATAATCAAAAATGACAACATCAAACCTCATTAAACAGATGTCAAAATAAAGCAATCATATTTTTCTCATTTAATTATAATAGAAGAATTCAAGTTAATTTGCTTATTTTACCATAATGAATACATGATTCCAACATTTTAAAAGCTAAAATCCTTAGGAGATACAGGACAATTTTAAAAAATCCTCATTTCACTAGAAAACCCTGGATATTAACCAGTTTCTTTAACTGGATGAACAGTAATACACATAACGTGCTAACATTTCTTAACAAATAGAATTTTTGTAAACAAGCTGCTTCCAAAAATATTTTATGAGCCATCATTAACTTTCAGAGATGTTGTTTATGTTGGGAACCTTGGTGATCCATCTCACAAAGCATGGCTGGAATGAAGAGACCCCTGAAATTGCTAAATGAGAAGAACTGAAAAGGGTCCTGTGAAGTCATGACCCTTTAAAGGTGTTGGTTTACAGAGTGCGAAGTGGGTAATTCACCAGCTGCACCCAGGAAGCAGCACTGAAAATACCTATGGCTAGCAATCAGAGAAAATGTTACTCTGAAGGGCGGTTGGATACCACCACGACTGCTGACACACAGTTTGGTCTAACTTCTGTTGATAGGGAAAAACTCCTGATTTTGGAACACAGTTCAGTATTTCAACAGAAGATTTCTAAAATGCAAAGTGATTAATTACCCTCTCTGTTCTTTTTTTGGACCATTTTTTAGGGCTTTCTAACTACAAAGACAAATTCACTAAGGACTATGCTCAAAATCTGAGGTGCAAACATGTTAAGCAAAGGCTGTACATTCAGGGCCCGCTGCTGGATCTCCTGGTCTTTAGGTGTAGATGTGGAGAGCTGACTGGCCAGCTGCTACCGTGTCAGAGGGAGAGGCACTTGCCTTGGTCACTTCTCTAGGAGGCTCAAAGGACACAAAACTTATTCCACAGGAGCTCATTTTAGCCAAATGGGTTAAATAAGTGATTATAAGACAATAGCAATGAGTTGAGTGTCAAGATTTTTAGGATTTTTTCTCATGTTACTATCAACAATCTATTTTCTAAAGCATGTCACAACTTTTCTCTGCTTCAGTTTATCTGTATGATGGATATACTCAGTTTAATTCCATGTTCCCAAAGAGGTGATGGTGGAATGATGTGTTGATAAATATTGTTAAAGCTCTTTGACGTCTTTAGAAAGAAAAGCAGCTTTCTTTTTCTCAGGGAAAAAACTCCCTGAGAAAATATTCAGAGACTCAGTAATACTGGGTCAAAAATCTCTAAAGCTTGACCCCCTTAAAAATAGCTTTTTAAGGTGAAACATATTATTGTATAGTGTGTGTATGTGTGTCTAAATATCTTATGTATATGCCATTTTGCTGGTTACTAAGAACAAAAATACTGAATTGTGGAATTTGAGGTCGCAATGTTTAGTGAGATATAGATGCTATAACTAAATAAACCATTTTCCTTAATTTGTAGAATTTCTTGATCTCCTACACCACTTTGAATGACACTCTCATACATCTGTTCTGCAGGAGTAGTAGCAAGCCCTGTTTGAAGTTTAAATTCATGACACCCTTTGTAGCACAGTGGCGACCTGATCAAAACAGTGATCAACAGAAATGCTTTTTGCTGATAAACAGGGCCAAATTCAGTCTCTTTCTAAGGAGAGCGAACACACACATACACACTCTCTCTCCCTGTATTCAGAGCCGAGGTTTTTCTTCTACCCCCAACTAATAAAATCAGGAGGCTGCAATGAGGCCGAGCGGCACGCAGTTTGATGTCCTCAGCAGGATACAGGGAGTCAGAAGTGGCGCTGTAAATCCAGAGCGGGGCTTCAACACGGTGTTAAGTGTGGCCCGAGTCGCAGAGATTTCCCTTTGATGCAAGTTCAGTATATTAATGGGAAAGGCATTCACTTTTATTTGTCTGTACTGTCTGCGACAGCGAGGCTGCCTCATTTAGCCTGGGCCAACATGAAAATACACAGAGAAGCAATCTGTTGCAAATTAGCACAGCTCCCCTTTCATTTACTAGCTAGTAATTGGAAGGGGTTAAGAAAGTGTAACTTATCGGATCACGTGAGTGTATCTGCTTGTGCGGACAGCAAGCCTCCCCCGAATTTCCCTATGAACCCTGAGGCCATAATCCTTCTTCGATGTCTACTTGATCTGAAAGACAACACTGACACGTGTGAAATGTGCACACTTTGTTCGGTTTCAGAGGCAGTCTCCTAGACTCCTGACGGGGGTATTAATGACTTTATTAGAACCTTACCTCTCTTTAGATATGTTTTTACTTTCCCGTTTCCAAATCGTCTTGAAGTCACTGCAGAACTCATACCACACCATAAACACGTAGTTGGGTGTGATCTCCTTCTCACCAGACTTTGGCTTCATCCCAAAATATCCTACTGTTGTTTCAAAACTGCAACAGGTAGGAGAACAAACAGAGTGAGGTAGAGGGTGAGAAACTGTCAACATCAACACCCATTAGGGTGAGGAGAGGGGACGCTGGGGGTGGTTCCCACATGTTCATTCTCTAACAGAGGAGCCCCGGTTCACAGTCACTGCGGCTTATCCTAAGCCTCAGAAAACCTATCTGTTCAAGCCAATTTTCCAAGAAATTCAACTTGCCTGGGGATACTCCTGGGCCTATCTTATCTGTAGTAAAACCAGCATGCATAATTCCAAGAAGATACGTAGGTAAAACTTTGAGTTTGTTCTTCATCTCAAATCCATGTCATTTACTTGCTTTTCAGCTTAAGTTTAATGATTACACGTAACACTGATGACAAATTGATTCTGTAGCATTAGCAGTTGTCAGTTAGATAGCCCATTGGGAATAATTAATCTCTAGAGTGTTTCATGGAAAATCAAGAGACTTCTATCCTCATTCTGGGATCCATTAGGTTTGTAATCTTGGGTCAATCACTCAGCATTAGACTCAATTTTCTCAAGGGTAAAATAAGAGACTTAGGCTGTATGATCTTTGAGAAGGGTACATTTTAAAGCTTGACATGATACAAGAATATAAAGCTCCCATGTACAAAAAGAGACATAATAGAGGGCATAGCAAGATTTGGATGAAAAACCACCTCTGGTCTAAAAAATGATCTCCAATCTGGTCAGAAAAGAATCCAAGTTTTCCGAAGTAGATTCCCAGATATCACTAAGAAGCCCCTGACCCACCCCATGGAGGCTCACTACACACCAGAGTCCTCTGGCCTCCCAAGCAGCCCTTCTTGGAGGCACTAGCTTTGCAGCAATTTATAGCTCTGCACTCAATCTTTCCCTCCACCTACCCCCATCCACCCCCAAGCCTCACATACTCATTTGCCATGAGCAACAACACTTAAATAAATGGCCTCCTTTTCTAGGGTGTTGGAAACTAATCAAAGCAGGAATGGCTGGCTAGGTTTATTACTCAATGCTCTATCATCTGTTCAGACACAGGATTTTTTTTTTTGTGGCCATCCTGAATACTGAGTTTCTAATGGAAATCTATTCAATGGCGATTGTAAAACCCTGAAGCCCCGTTACCCTTATGGAGCACACTTTCATCTCATTCTCAGTTATTGGGCAATATGTATCTCATAAGATTTTATCACATTTCACAGATGAACTGTTAATTGATTCCATGGCTATGACTAGGCGAGATCCAAGCTGGAGCTGCAGCTTTCAGTCCCATAAATTCTTTGTGCTTCTGTAAATAATAAATCTGTTTTTAATGCAAATTAAAACTACTGGTCAGGGAATTTTAGCTCCCAGTTATTAAAAGACTGGAAGTGCATAAGTGGAGAAAGGCAATAACTGCAGTAACTTCTTAAGAGACTCTCTTATAATTCCAAACATACATATTTTGGAGCAAAACCAGTAATGGAAGAAAGTAGCAACGTCCACTTTTGCCCCAGACACAACTCCTAATTCTGTGGCAGTCAAAATACTGATAAAACCAAACGTACACTCCATGGCATACACTTTTCTTTCATTCAAAATGAAAATTATATTGATTGCAGCATGGAAATATATAAGTCGAGAGTTATCTAACCCATAGGAACAGGCTATGAATTTCTTATAGAGTCATGGGCTTTAGTGTTGGAAGAGACTTACATCCACTCATCCAACATTCTCATTTCACAGATGAGACAAAAGAGACCTGGAAAGACTGAATGACTTTATTCATTGGCAGAGCTGGGCCTACAACTTAGGTCCCCTGATTCTCAGCGAAATGCTTTTTCCATTCTACCTTTCTGATGCTGATGCTCGCTGACACAGGCATTTAAGAAGTAAAATATCATTTTTTTCTGTCTCCGCTTTAGACACGGTTGTCCCCCATATTATACAGAATGTGTATTACCCCCAGCAGAGCACATTATTTCTTCCTTTTTCTTATGCTCAGTTTCCATACAGAGACATACTTATTTGTGCATTAATAGAGAAGAGAAAGTCTTTCCCTTTTAATATTCAGAGAAACAAATTCTCTTTCTAATTTTCCAGCAGGATACAGTGAAGAGCACAGAAACTCCAGTTACTGTGCATGATGGATCACCTCAGCATCTCTGGCATTATTTGGAGTCTAGATTGTGAGACCAAGATATTGCAAATACTTCTGCAGTTTTAGAGAATGACAGCATTGTTTGTGGGTTATCCCAGAACTTGCGAAAAGCATGTCATCATCCTGGGGGCCTTGCTTTTCCCAACTCTAAACTGAAGCTAACCATGTACTCTTACCACCTCTCCCCCTGGGGATTTGTGAGGCCCTGCTTGCTAACCCTCAAAGGCGATGAAAACTAAAGGAAATGCCAAATTTCAGCATTTTTTCTCCTATGTGTTTTAGAAATTAAGAAAACAAATGAGCCTTTTCGGAAGAACCAAAGCCAGCAGTCCCAGAGGATGGCCTGGCTTTGGCACTCTGCAACTTTGTCAAAGATGAAGTCGCTCTGTGGATGTGCCTTAATTGATTTTGGTATTATCCCTTTGTTCAAGGAAAAGCTAAAAGCTACAATATGAACCTGCAACGATCTGATAAGGTCTCGACTATTGTCCTCTCCAAACAAAACTCTCTTCTTTTCAAATTCAATTTTGATTCCCAGAAGACTCGGAAAACTTTCTGAAATTTGGGCATGAAGACTGCTGATATTTAATGACTAGGAGAATTTTCTCCAAGAGAGTAAAGAGCAATCACGCTTTTTGAAATTTTTGTCAGCAGTTAACTCTAAAATAGCTTTCAACTTTTAAAAGATTGATTTCTAGTCATATGTTCCGTTCCATAAAACTTTCTTACTTCACTCTAAACTACTCCCTGACTCCTTTTCTCTCCACTATAATTCCTTGTCTGATTTGTATCTTTTTAGTTCAGCTAAACATTTTAAAGTACAGACAATGATTATATCAAAGAGCCCATAGCAAAATGAACTGTTTTACTTTTACAGTGTCGAGATACCAAAGCGGAACACATCCACTTATTGTTTTACATGCATGCCTTCAGAAACTGCTTAGGAAAAGCAAATATTCCTTAGCCTCAGAGTAAACTGTTTCTCTTGAGAAGAAAACATAAGAATTTACTGAATCTCACACGAATATTGCAACACTGACCACCAACCTCCTTAAAGAGTGTAAGCAAACAACTGTGGTTTCTGCATTAAAGATGAGATCTAACATATTTCATGTATGACATGAAAGCTAGACTACCTTCACCACAAAGTCACGGAAAACGCTGACAACCAAAATTTATGACCCCCCTCAGCATAGCTAATGCACAGCAGCAGCTTCGGCCCCTCTAAGGTGGGCCCCCCTTTCCTTAAGCAAGGATCTTGAAGAAGTATTAGAAATTTGACATCTACCCTGGAAAGCAAATTTCTGTTTGGCCTGATACCAATGCGCCCTTGTTGATGGTCTCTTCTGAACATGCTGGATATTTCTACAACACAGACATACTCATTTTACAGACTGAGGAATGGAAGGTTAATATAGGGGTAAGGGCAATAAAGGGGCACAAAAATCTACAAACATAACCATGTGATTGTCTCAGTTTCAAAGATGATCATGCTAGGATGATAATCATGATTCAAGAACATGACTATGCTTAGAAAAAAGCAAGATTTTTGCAGATGAAAGCAAGACCTTAATCTTGCTTTCATCTGCATTTTAACTTTACTGGCAATTACAATGGGAAGCAGGGCAAGATGTTGGCGCCTGTCAAAGCAGAGCAGATAGCACTGTCCATAGGCTTTCAAAACTCTTGGAAATTGTGGCTAGAAAGGAGGAAAATGGTTCATTTCTAGAGTCAGCTCATTTGCATTTAATAAACTTCCATCCTTACACATTTGTCAAACTCATTTTTCCTGATATGCTGTTTCCTGCCCTTATCACTTAATTTTTTAGTACATTTAGAATTGGTACCAGCAAAATTTATCTCAATTTTCTGCCCTGAATATGAGAATGCTTCAGTGTATTCCCATTCACCCTTCCAAGAGGGAGGGATAGCCAAGTTGACCAATCTGGGCACCAGACAAAAGAAAAATCCCTATAAGTGATCACAGCCAATGATTATCGAGTGAGGTGGATGGTTCCACTTTGGTGTCTATTGAGAGAGAGAAGAGCAAAGAAGAGGCCTGAAGTGGGTGAGAGGCCGACTAGAAGACCTCTGAGGTCTCTTCCAACTTCTGGGGGAGTTTTCCATATATAGACGTCAGTCCCCTCTCACTTGTCCCTTGTTTACAATATCCCCTAAGATCTGAGGAAAGACATAATAAGTCTCTGAGCTGTTTGTAATAATTCGTTTAATCTAGTGGTAATACTAAGAAGGATCACATTGTTCCTAACTTTCATGAAGTGGTTCAGGAGTGGAGTAATGGAGCAGAGGCAACTGGATGGAAATAGTGCCATGATGTGTGAGGCATATTGAGTTACTTCTGGATGATTCTTTGCTTCCTGAGGAAAAATATTCCCAAGTCCTGTTACAATGCTTTCACTCTAGCTCTCCACAGAACCATATTGCTCACGGATGCATAGTCTTAACAACTGGAGCCAAAAGAATGGCTAGTCAGACATCATGCTAAGCAAAATAAGCCAGTAATAAAAGGAAAATTACTGTATGATTCCATTTACATGAGGCACCTAGAGTAGCCACAATCACAGAGACAGAAAGTAGAATGATTGTTGCCAGGGGCTGGGGGAAGGGGTGATTGGAAGAGTTATGGTTTAATGGGTACAGAGTTTCATTTGAAGAAGACGAAAAAGTTCTGGAGATGGATGGTGGTAACAGTTGCACAGCAATGTAAATGTACTTAATAGTAATAAAAAAAAGAACGGCTAGTCAAAGAATTGGGGCAAAGTCAGAGGTGCTTACCTTTTCTGTGCATTCTCCAAGTGACTTTCTTCCATTTTATGCTCTTTTTTGGCTGTGAAAGAGAAACAATTAGAATGAGGACAGTATTTTCTTCCACCATGTCCTTTGCAAAATCTGCTAACTTTCATTACACCCATTCATTATCTAAATAAGTCTGAATTCAAGGGTTGGCAGCACCTACATCACATGTCCTGGAGATAGGACTCAATTCGCTACATCTATCACCGCTGCTTTCTTGATAACAGCTAGAGCCCACGATGACCATATAATTTATTGTTCTCATTGAAACCTTTTGAGATTGAAAGGAAGTGATGTTAATAATTACACCTGGACAAAGGCATAAACTGGAACAATCCTGGTCAGATCTGTACATGTGGTCACCCTGGCTATAGCTGGCCTCTTTGTGGGCCTTGGCACATGCTGAGCACTTTCCTTTGGCCCCCAAAACATAACAAACCCAGCGCGATTTGTAGCAGTTCTGCTCAGATCCAAACAAATTCATGGGAAGCCTTGCACACACTGTCTCTACACCCATCAGCCCCTTTGGCAGTCAGGGGAAGCCTGTGGTCTCCCTTCTCAGAGTAATATTTTTAAATGTATTGCAAAAAATATCTAAGATTACTAAGGAAATCAATGAGACTGAGAAACAATTCTGAATTTACAGATTAAGAACTCATGCCCTGTAGGGACTACTTAATCAGGAGGTTTCATTTTGGGGCTGGTTCTTTTACATTCTCTTCTCTCTAATCAGAAGATAACATTGTTCTGTATGATAATACCACTCTTACACTTTAAAAAATGTCCAGAAAAATAGGCAAGCCATAATGATCTATATGAGCCTTAACACTCCTTTCATTTAAGGCTACAATGATGTAAAAAAATCAATGGAAAAATATCCATCATATTTAGGGCCTAAATTGTGAAACACCATGAAAGGTGTTAAAAGATTTCAAAACATCACCATTTTATTAAGCCTAGCCCCGCCCTGAACTACCTGTGTGACTGTGGGCAAGTCACTCATGACCAAATGCATAGTTATTGCCTCATCTGTCCTATGAGAATAGCCGCACTGACTACTATCACACAGCTATTACCAAGATGAAATGAGATAATACATGCAAAGTGCTTAGCACGTAACATATGATCAATAAGTGACATGACAGATATTATAAGTATCTCATCATCAACTTCATCACTGATTTTAAAACATAAATTTTATCAAGTGACTCCCTGCTCAAAACCTTCCAAAGGCCTCATCCTTGACATAACCTCAAAAGTCTTCACAATATCCCAGAAGTTCCTGCAAGTCTGCTCCCTGGCTCTTCTGTGACATCACCTCCTCTTTCCCATGCTTATTCCTTTACAGCTTCACCGGTCAGCTTGCTGATGCTTGAGCACACTGACCATGTGCCCTGGGGACCTTCGCACTTTGCCGTTCCTTCTCCCTGGGACACCTTGCCCACAGTCTCTGCATGACCGGCTCCCTCACCCCATTCAGGTCTCAGCTCAAATAGCATCTTCTCTGACTTCACTAAATGAAAGATCATCCCTTGCTGGACATCCCCGCCACCACTCCATCTCCTGATGTTACTTTTATCCCACAGCCTCTATCTATGTGACAGACTATTCATTTACCCATTTGTTCATTATATGACAGTTGAACACAAGCTCCAGGAGAGCAGCAACTTCATCTGGCTTGTTTTCTGCTGTGCCTTAAACATGGGATGAATGCCTACATATTAAATAAATTACTTTAGCTTAAAAATGCATATACTGGATAAAGATCACTTAAAAAGAGAGATACAAGGTTTCCTAAACATGAAATTTTATATTTAGAACATGAACATAGGCTAAAGAAGAATGTCAGGCTAAAGTTGTATACTATTAGCTCTAAGTCTAGTAAATTTCCACAAAAATGAATTTTTTATATTAAAACGATTTGTCTTTGATTAGCTACATCATTTTAGGAAGAATTAAGTCATAGTTATGGCCATGATTTGTGGTATGATTTCCCTCCACCCTCCTAGCAGGAATTTCTGTGAATTAGTCTGGTTCTTAGCCAATCAGATCCAGAGAAGTGACCTATGTCTCTCACAGGCTACCAAGTTCCCCCAAATGTGAAACAAACTAGTGGTTTGTTCTCATCCAGTGACTCTTAATTATGTGCATGGCCAAACAAGAGGAAAAATTCCTTTGAGCCCTGAGTGATCTTCCTGGAGCACCTTTGCTGTTCTCCGTCATCAGATGGTTTCTAACTGGCTACTTCCATGCTGTGCTAAGTAGACTGTGGTCAAGCCGTCATCGCATATAAATTTAGCAACAAGAAATACCCTATCCGAACTGAATTAAGCATTAGATAAGATTTTGCAATAGCTCTATGAATATGGTTATTTGGAAAAAAACCAGCATCTGAATGTAAAAAGAGGTAGTATTAAGAGGCAATGCATACCACAGAACCTCTGAGGGTTTTGGGGAAAAGATCCTTTGGGAAAATGAGAACTTAGAGATCTCCATTTTTGCTAAGCAAAGGGCCTATGTACAGATAGAAAAGGCAGCTACTTCCACGCTGTGACCTGGAAGCTCTACTAGCCTAAAATAGTTTTCTCCCACCACAATGTGTGAAATTTCCAACCACGTCATTACACATTTTAAGTCTTCAAAATGCTCTAAGCAACACAGATACATTACTACAAAGAAAAAATGTTTAAAGACTGGAGTCACAAACTCAAATTCTAGTATCACCAACAAATATGGTAATGACAGGTCAAGTGCAAGAATCCTAATATTCTCACATTCTATTCCTAGCTTCTCAACACTGGAATTGAAACAATGTTGGTGCAGGGAGGCCAACAGGGGGTGATAGGGAAATGGGGAGGCCAGTGTCCATCTAAGAGAGGGATGGCACTTACTATTGTTACCAAATCTACTTTTTTGAGAGAAGCTAGGATTTTTAAATGAATATTCTCAACTTAAAAGAAAAATGTTTCAGAAGGTCTGTAGGACAAAGAGAACAATCCTGTTGGCCATATCAGGCTCTGCAAGCTCTGACTTAAGCCTTTAGTAGCTATTGACATGATGACATAGGTGGGTTTGTTCTTTCATCCCATGCACCAGACACTACTTTAGGTGCTTGGGATCCACCTGTGAAGAAAGCAGACAAAGGCTCCCATAGAACTTTCATTCTCGCTGGGGCAGACAATTAAACCTGAGAGAATAAGATCCAGTATAAGTAATTTTTGATAAGGGGGATCAAAAAAATTCCAGAGCATGGATTTTTGCCTAGAGAAGAATTTAGGTGGGTTACTGAATTAGGGGTGCCTGGACAGCCAGAGCATGTTACACAAGTAGTAGGCACAAAAAAAGGAGAGACAGTGTTAAAATTGAAGACAAGTCTTAGATGAAAACTGTCCTTACCTACAACTTTGACTAGCAGTGGTCCTGAATCAACGTATGAGATTTACCTATTCTTCTATTCTACAAAACCACATGGATGGCAGTATTTAGGTGCTCCTTTTTCAATTTAAATTTGGTACTACATGTGTGGTGGTGGGTGGGTAGGCTTCTTGGAAGAGTAAACTTGGAAGAGTTGTCAGATACTGACACAACACTAGGGGAGACAGAGAAATAACAGGCATCCTTGACTTTGCTCTTCTCTCTTGTCTTTCTTTCATGAGAAGCTGTCTCATTGTCTCCAATGAGTTAAATATAATTTTTTTCCAAATAAGGAGAATAGATAAAGTATCTGCTTAGAATGATGACAATCTCACAGTTTAAGACAATAAAAGCAATAAGGAAAACAAGTCAGAGTATAAAAATGAGAAGTTTCACTTAACATCAGTCCTATCTTTCAGACTTCTTAGAGCCAAACACGCACAGTGATGACGGTGAACTTCTGGAAGTGCTCAGAGGAAGCTGAGTGGTAAGTTTGCTTGGTGACCTACCTGTAGCACACTATAACTTTTCTGTCATTGGCAGAACTGTATTGCTTTTCTTAAACTTTAATTTTCTCCATTAAAGAACAAATTTTTCATAATTCTATGTCACAGAAAGAAAGCAACATGGCTTCTTTAGAAGGTGTTTTTTATTCAAGAGAGATTTATGTGGATTTTATTTAATACAGCCTTTACTGAATAAAAACTATCTGCTTTTGTCTAAACGTTCAATGTCTTGAAATTTTGTTTCCTGGTTCATTTGATGGCCTTTGTCTCATGAGTTATCATAAAATCGCCTCCAATAAGAATTCTGAAATTCTTAAATACTGTGGCTTACCAAATGAAGCAGAATGGCCCTTTCTGTTCAATGGTTGTGGCCCTAAGGAATATGAATCAGAACTCAAGATAGTTAAATGCCAAGTTTTAAGCCCAGCTCTGTCACTTAAATGTCACAGACAAGTTGCATGTGTCCTGCATTCCAGTTTCCTCCTCTGTAAAATGGAGACGATAATACTTATGTCCCACGTAGTTATGAGGGCAGAATGAAATGGGCATGTGAAAGTGCTTGACAATGAGAATTTTTGCAATCAAGTCTTTGATGGTCCCATGTCATGTTGAGGCTGCTGGGGGTTCAAGCTTCCAATGGGTCAACTGTTTTGACAAAGATAATGCAGAGGTAGCAAAGTGGAAAGAGCTTGGGCTATGTGTTAGGCGGACCTGAGTTCAATTCCTGCTCTGCCACTTAACTGAGTGACTTTGGGGAAGTCACTTTAACTCCACTGAGTCTTACCCATAAAATTGGAATGATAAGATCTACCTTGCAAGGTGGTTGTGACTATTGGATGTACTGAACATGAGAGATTAACGTAGTGGCTAAACTATGGTAAGAACTCAAAAATGGCAGCCATTTATCATTGATTGACTAGAAGCAATTGCTAGTAGTCACTGTTCTAGTTCTCCAACTTGGGTTGATATTACAAAATTTCAAGCAAATTCTCCTTCCTTTCTTTAGACTGTCCACAACCATCCTCAGTAGATGATAATATTGCTTGTGAACATTTTCAAGTCAGATCAGGAGCCCTCTGCTCAAAACCCCAGTGTTTTCCCACTTCACTCACAA